GTGAGAATGACTTATTTAAACTAACGAGGTTCGTGTTCAAGAACAACATGTAGTCGCTCTAGAATCTCAAATGGGCTCACTTTTCATCCATCTTTATTCTAATCACTTTCCTGCAAACACCACCCTTTTGCCAACTAATCCTTTAGAGTTTCCTTTTATTCTCCCTTCTAGACTCCATCTGCCCTCTTGGCATCTTTAATTTGAACTGAAATCTCTCCATCTGTCTGTCATGTCCACCTCGCCTCAGCCATCTCTCCCTCCATCGCTCACTCTCGTGCCTGATCCAGTTGTGCAGTGAGCCGTGAGTGATTAAAGTGATGCAACAGTGGGTGGGAAACGCTCCTAGAAAGGAGACCTCTGATTGGATACGCTGGTGAAGGACAAAGCTCTGTATTGCTTGTCATAACCAATCACTGCTGCTTCGCTGTATGTAAACAGGAAGCGCAGCAGGAAGCTGTCAGACTCTCACGTTATGACCTTTTAGCCTTTAAAGACATGATGTCGTTTTCTATTTGAAATATGAAAATGTAAAAGAACCAAAAAGAAAACATTGCTTCTTTGCGTTTGGTGCTCGGGTAGGACCCATTCTTTGTTTCTGCCCAAAATATAAAAAGTAAGATGTCAAAGATATCAAAAGTTATGTGAGATCTCTTATTTAAGCTCAAACATTTTCACTCCATCCTTGACCTTTTGCTGGCCTCTACTGTTTGCAACCTAGTTGTTTGGACCGAGGACTGAGCGCTCAACACTCAAAAACTCATTAAAACCAGATTTAAGAAATCTTAGCCAGCAGAAACACCCTGAAAGACGAGGGCTCACATAGTCCAAATACTTTGGCAGCCACATCATTGTGCATGAGGCGCGAAAAACGCTGAGAATAACCTGGCACCGCAGTGACGAGCGGCTACAGCCACAGAGAAATCACAAAACAGGCCCTATAAATATTTCGCTTTAAATGTAGCTAGCCTATTTTCAGCAGGTAGTAAATGCCAAGAGAGATGAAAAGGTTAAGGGGGTGGAGGGGTACAAAGCAAAGGCTTACCGGACTCCTCTACAGAGTTTAGCATCATTTGAGGCAGCGAATAATGAGATGAGAGAGAAAGAAAATCAAGACAGCACAGGGAGAGAATTAGAAAGATTAAAAAGGAGGAATGGTACATCAACACTGGCATAGCAGAGTCTCTTTTACAACGCAAGCAGTCATCTAAAGCCACAGACACGGGCACATAAAGCCGGGATGGTGTTAGCGGTTTCCCCTGGATTCAGTTGCATTTATACATCAACCAATACTTTAGATTTCTTTATGAGGTTACAGAAACAACAAACACATACATGCAACAGGCAGTGTTTAGTCTTTCAGTTAACACATGGCCTATAGTCCTTTTTAAAAAATTATTTTACCCATAGCCATAAAATAACTGTGTGCATTAGGGCTGGGCGATATGGCCTAAAATTCATATCGCGATATAATTTGAAGCACGTGCGGTAACGATATATATTCTTTTCTTCTGTATAACGTATTTTCCACACTATAAGGACTTGAAATCCTTTAATTCAAGATCAAGAGTGTGCCTTATGTATGAATTCTGGTTGTGCTCACTGACCTCGAAACGATTTGGGCTGCAGAAATCTGTTAAAAAGATGTTTTTAGGGACAAATGCAATCGTATAGCAGGATGCTATACACGGGCCAAACTTCAGTCAGGAGAACAACTGAGATAATTCATCCACAATACGAGGTTAGTCATTAATATACTGCAACAACATGGGAA